CACTGAGGAGCCCTTCTCTTACCAATACCAACGACTATTATTCTCTCTGTCCTCTTTCTGGCTTCATATGCCAGAACATCCAGTATGTGATTGCAAAACTCTAAACAATTTTAATGTTTCATTGTCTCAGGCTCCTAAACCTGGAAAATGAGGATGGATCTGTTACTGGACCATGCTTAATTAACCAAGGCATTGAACTCTACCCTTGAGGCTTTTAGGAGTCAGCTTTCTGGCCCTCCTTGGCACCATATGCTAAGACTTTGGCTGTGCAGCTATGAGCATCCTAAATACCTACACATAAATAGCTACTCACAAGTGGTACTTGATAACTTCCGAGGAGATAATGGGGACCAGAATCAGTGGGATTAACATTGCCTTATATCCTTTGGCTTGGCCCCTCTCTCCCAGAAATCTCTTCATTGCTGCAGTCTCACAGGGGTGGGGTGGTTAGGGCTTTTTTCTTGATCCCATAGAGGATATAACAGATAAGAGGAGGGAAGCCTTGTTCCAAGAGGGTGCCCACCCTGGGCTCTGCTGAGTGTCCACAAGAGAGGATCCTCACTGGTATATTAACTCCCAGCTGACTTGTGGAGGAAAAAGGTGGGCTGGAGGATGAGTGTGCATCCTAGCTGTCTTCAAATAGGCTGTCATTTGAGAGCTGCTTTTTAACACAAATACAGTGTGGGGGCAATCAAGGGAGAAGGAAGCCAAAGGGCGTTACTCTTAATCCACGTCTTACTATGTTCCAATGCATATATAATTCATATATGTGACTTCGTTCAATTTTTCATCTTCTGCATGAGTATTATCAGTAATCACGCTGTAAAATGAAACAGACCCAGAGAAATTAAGTGATGTGCCCAAGGTCACATGGTTACAGAAAATGTGTACACACACACACACACACACACACACACACACACAGAGGATGCATGCCTGCCAAGCTGCAAACTTTCTTTTCTATCGTTGTAAGACCTGGTGGAAGCCACAGTGGACAGATTTTAGCTGAGCAAAAGAGAGTGTTCTGACAACTAGAGTTCTCTTAGAATAGCTGCTCAGGTGGCCCAGGAGCTCTCTCTCCAGGGAATTGTTGCAGCAGAGGCTGGAAAACATCTTACTCAGGGGCACTGGGAGGTTATCTTGGGCGCGGGCATAAGGTCACTTTTAAGACCCCACAGCTCTGAGCCTTTCTCTCTCACTTGGAGGACACCTGACCTGGAGGTTAGGAGCTCTGGGCTCCTGCTCAGGATTGTAGCTCAATCACTAATTTCTGGACCCCTTTATCCTCCTCTAACAGAAGAGCATTGGGCCAAGGCAGAGGTTTTGTAAACATTGCTAACCACAGAAACCTCTCCTCAAATGGGTTATGTATGTGCCAAGTTAGCTTTTTGAATTCGCATATCCATACTTATAACTGTATCTATACATATGTATATAGACACTTCTGCATATTTTATATATGATACACCCACAAATATATGTCTGTATGTGTGCATGTATATTTGTGTGTGCTTGTGTGTATATTTGTGTGTTTTTGTTTGTTTTGATCCGTTGGTTTTCTCTTTCTGAGCATGATCTGGGAACATCTTTGTGTCAGGAGAATTTTTGACACTCAGACAGAAGCTGTGTGAAGTCAACTGTTCTCCCCTCAGAATGAAAGTGGCCAGGATCATTTAGATTTCAGCTACAGATGAGGAAGATTGGCCCAGATGCTAGCTCAGGGCTAATCTTCCTCAAGCAAAAGGAAAAGAAAGGAAAGATACTCTGCAGCAGAAGTCTTTGTGGGCAACAAGATGTGAGAAGGCACGCCATCTAGCGTGACAGGAACCTAGAGAGAGATATTTCCCCCATGTGAAAATGAGTCTGGTGTTGGTGTGTGCGTGTTTGGGTCAGGGCTATTCATCCGCAACTGGGACTGGACTGACCTCCAAAGCTGCACCCTAGATCAGCATCAAGACATGGGTGGGGACAGCTGCCGAGCATGCCTGGCTAGACTGACCTCGCCCAGGGGACCCAGTGTCAACAAAGAGCCTCCTATCACAAGTGTGGCCTCTGAGCTAAGAGCTGGCCAACTTTGAGGGTCACGGTGGGCTTGGATGCTAAGCATATAGCAGTAACCATGGTGGCCTGTGAGTTGGAGGTTGTTCTTCATTTTTCTAGCACCATGTGAGCCTCCCTGACCTGGTGTGATTTCAGGAAGATAAGGAACTGTGCTATCTCTTCCATGTCAAAGTTTATATTGAACTTTATACTCATAGTGTAACCTACATGTAAACCATAAAGAAATGGCTGCCCTGGTTGTGTTTTTCCTCCCTGTACCTCTCCTTCATCCAGAGGTGGGGTTCCACTGACTACAGAACTGGAAACTTCATTTCCAATCCCATCCACTGCTGTTCTAGAGTCAAATGTGATGATGCATGTGAAAAGCAGAAGTCGTCAGACAAATGAATGTTATTTTCCTCAGACAAGATGATGTTCGTTTGTGTGGATTTCTCACAAAGACTTGGGCCAACCTGACCAACCTGGATGAGGAAGGAGACTTGGCGAAATTTTGACGAAAGTCCTTTGGGCTGTAAGTGTCATGAGGGTGTGGCTGGTGTCTGCTATGTTCACTTCTCAGCCTCCAGTGCCTTTCACATAGCAAGTGCTCGATATCTGTTTGTTTGTTGATTTATGGCAAAAGTAGTGCCATCCAGTCCTGCTGCAAAGACTCCCTCCATTACTCAACTGGCAGCTATAGCCCAGGCGGGCAGCAGGGGTCATAGACCAGAAGCCGGTTTACCATGGGTGACCAAGAGACAGGCTGAAAGGGGTCGAAGATGTGAGTGAATGGCCTATGAGTCAATACATAGCCCATGGGGGCCCTGGGGCTGGATGTGAGGGGCTCAGACACAAGGAGGTGTGGAAAAGCATCAATGGGTCATAACACAGCAAGGGTTTGTGAGGAGGTGTTGGGCGGTTGGAGAAAGGAGGACGCAGAAAACAGGTGAGAACCATGAGCAGAGAGAGCAGAGGCGGGTCTGCCCACAGCTGCTAGCCAGTGACTGTTGTTCAATAAATAAAGGAGAAATCAGTGGTTCCATCTAGAAATGGATATTTATTAAGGTCATGGCAGCCTCCACACAGGGAGGTCTGGACTCTTCCCAAGAGAAAATGGTCAGTCACAGAAGATCTTATTGATCTTTCTCCAGGGCGGGAAAGTTGGGATCTTGGTGAAGACCAGGAGGTGTTTCATTCTTATCCAAAGGAGACAATGCCCTGGGCATTGTTGTTACACACGAGGGGCCCCCGGAGGTTCCTGTAGGCAGAGGGAGGGAGGACTGAGCTGGCCTCTGTGTGATGCTGCCCTCCCCGCCTCCCTAGGGTGGGCAGTCTCTGTTTGGGGGCTATGTGGCAGATGAGGGGCAGTGCTGGGGCCCAGCCGGGGCCTTGAGTGTTCTCCTAGCTTGACCTTGGCCTAGGGCCTGCCTCCAGAGCGTCTGTGTGGCAGGAACTCTGGAGAGGCTGCCTGGGCTTGTGCCGGCCATGTTCTCACACAGGTGTGAGCCTGAACTGGGCTAATCACCAGCTTGGGCCTGCAGAGCCTTGGAGGAATGGTCACCGTTTCCTCACACAAAGGCAAAGTTTAATAACCGGTAGCCACATGAGTGTCAGTCCTGAGAGGGTGCCTGTCTCTACCAACTCCTTTCAGAGGAGAAATAGTAAATGCTTTGAATTGAATATTGGAATGTGGCTAAAGCAGGTAGAGAAAAATTTATAGTCTTAAGTCTCACATATTAAAAAATACCTGAAATTATTGAGGTGATCATGTATCCCAAGAAGTTAGAAAGTAATAAGTGAGTAAATTCAAGTGGGAGGAAGAAATTGTAAGTAGCAGAAGTTAATGAACTAGTGAGCAAACATACAACAGAGAGGTTTAATAAAGCAAATATTAAATTGTTTGAAAATGCTGATAAAATTGACAAACCTCTGGAGAAACTAATCAGGGAAAAAAGAGAGGAAGTGCAAATATTTAAGATCAGGAACTAAAAAGGGAATATTTTTACAAAGCTGCAGACCATTAAAAGATAAGCCAAGAGGGCCGGCCCTGTGGCTTGGTGGTT